TGTCACAAGAGATCAAACTGTTCAATCAAAAATACTTCCCTCTGGAACACGGGCCCAAAAAGCCAAGCTGATAGCCCTCACCTGGACTTTGAAATTGGAAAAGAACAGGTCAATATCAGTACCAACTCCTGTTATGCTTTTGCTGCCCTCCACATGCACGGGGCCGTCTACAGAGAAAGAGGGCTCATGACAACAGGTAAAAGAAGATGTCAAAAATTCACAGGACTTATTAGGGTTGCTACACAGAGTTTGGCTGCCAGAAAGGGGGGCTGTTATACATTGTCGCGACCACCAGAGGGGGGACTCTTTAGAGGCCCAAGGCAATAGTGCCATGGAATTAGCAACAAAACAGGCAGCCAATCTGAACAACCCTGTCTCTGAAAAAGTACTTGTAGCACTCTATCTAAAAAGACCTTCCTATTCAGAGACTGAGTTAAAGTGGACTAAGTCAGAGTGAGCCACTAATAAAAATGGGTGACAGGTGCTGCCAGGAGAGATTTGCGTTCCTTCCCAAATGTTCTTTGCGACATTTTGTGATACAGGACCTACATACCTGCACTCATTTGGAAAAAACTGCTATGGCAGAGTTGCTTCGCTGGTATTTTTATATCCCCAGACTCTGTGCTCCCCTTGCCTGAGAGATGTGAATTTTGTGCCTGCAGCAGCCCCTGAGCACCCCCTTTGAGGGTGTTGAGGTCCACTTCACCGAAATGAAGCCAACAACGAGAAATTGAAAGTACTTGCTAGTCCTGATTTGTACCTACTCAGGTTGGGTGGAAGCTGTCCCAACTAGGACTGAAACTTTAGGAGAGTTACCAGGCCTTTTTGGAGTTGATCGTCCCCCAATATGGACTTCCCATGACCGTCGGGTCAGATAATGGGCTGGCGTTCGTAGGTAAAGTAGTCCAGGAGCTGGCCTTGCCTCTAGGTGTAAAATGGAAACGCCACATGGCTTACCTGCCTCAGAGCTCTGGGCAAGTAGAGACAATTGCACCCTCAAATCCACCTTGGCTAAGCTCTGCCAGGAGATGGGTGCAACTTAGTCGTATTGCCCATGGCCATTCTCTGACCCCTGTGTACACCATACCAAGATGACCTCATGCCCTTTGAGATTATGACTGGACAGGCTCCCCCACGGATGCCAGTGATAAAAGGACTCCAAGAAGCTGGGTCAATTGACCTTTGTCGCCAGATGAAGGGACTTCATTGAGTCCTTGAGGAGCTACAACAGACTATCTTGGAACATCACCCAAGCCCTTTGCACACACCCTTACATCCTTTCCCGCTGCTCTTAAAGTTTCAGGGCTTGTTCCATGGATCCATCACTCTTGTGTCAAATGATGGACCAGAACCAGACCAGTGCCACAAAGAGAGCCAACACTGCCAAGCAACAAGACAGTGTCTCCTCCCCGAGACAGAGACAACACCAGCATCAAGCTGACCGTCCATGTCACCCTCTTCCTGCTCCTCCTTGGGTCTGTGGTCAGGTCAGACCATGGAACTGGTTTAAGAGTTCACAGTGACTTGGACATTGGAGGAGCAATTCTAAATGAGACTGTTTGGCTACGAGGGTTGACACCCCTTGAGATTCATTGACCCATACAAGGACTGAGAGCCTTTCCTGCCTGTGGGTCCCTAACAAAAGGTTACAAGATGAGATAAACCAGGTCAGGATTTATTTTTGCCCAGGAGACCAGACCAATGGCTGTGACTCCACAGATGAGTTAAAGACTTGACTTGTTAAGAGACTGTTTGTAAAGTCATCTGGGCCTCGATCTGCTCCCCCATAAAGTCAGATCTTGGGCTTACAGACAATTTGCCCACACCTGGTCCCATTTTAGAGCTAGACCCTCACGCACTACCACCACCAGCTACCCCACTGGGAGTTTACTTAAAACTGTTTTTATGCCAGTAAGTCCAGAATCATCTGAGACTTTAGCCAGGGTCTGTGAGCGCCTCGACAAGAAAGCAAAAGACTGCCAAAATTCCCAAGGGCGGTATGCCTGGAGGTGCAATCAGAATCCCTGGCTCACTTCTTTACTGACAAGTCTGGCTGGGCCCTTGATGATCTGTACAGCCTTACTTGTGATTGGGCTCTCCCTAGTCAAAGGGTGATACGAAGAATTCGAGCTGGACTGGACTAGGTACAACTTCTGGTGTTGGCAGAAAATCCTGTAGATAAATTTAAGGACACCTCACCAGCTTAGTAAGAAGAGAGTGTCCTTGAAGGGGCATAATATAGGAAAAACTAAACCAACACCATTTTGTGTTCTAGTGCCATTTTTAAGCTTACGTTTGTTTGTTTCCTGTAAATGTTGTCACAGTTACCTAACCTGATACCACCCCATGCTGTCATAAGGCTTTGTCCCCTATGTAAACCGTCAAACACCATTGTTCCTTTGTCACAAGCTAAGCCCATGCTTTGTAGTATTTCTATAGCTGCACTAAATCCTATCAGTAGCACCACCCCTCATAGATCCGGAACTAGACTGGGAACTATAACTGTATAGCTAGTCTCTCCCGCACTTCAGGGTCAGTGCTCAGTCACGTACTGGGGTGCCCACCGCCAGCCCCCAATAAATTTGTCTCTGCATCTGGCCTCCGCAGGCGATTCAGTTAAATAAGCAGCTTGTCTCTGCATCTGGCCTCCACAGGTGACTCAATTAAATAGGCTCCTTTCCTACAACAATGTAACAACCATTGATAATTTCCTATCTTGTTTTCAAATTCTGTACTTTTTGTTTTTGTTTTTGTTCTCTTTAAAATAATTAATAAATGAATGAATGAATGAGAAAATGCCAACATGGCTCAGTCAGCCTGAATGACTTGAAGGGTGATTAGGGTCTGGTAAAAATCACAGTCCCAAGCAGAAAGCTCAGCTCTATCACAACAGGCTGTCCTATCTGAGATAAAGTATTCCTACTGTAAAACTGTAAGTCTATGCCATAGAAGTTTCATTAGCATTCAATAAAACAAAACATGCTGGGCAAATGCACAAGGCTTGGCACAGGGTAAGTGCTCAATAAATGGCAAGCTATTCCTTCTTCCTCAATGGCAAGGAGCAGATGGCTGTGATGATAGCCGATAGCGATAGGGCAACATGCACAGGGAATAAAAGCACAAATGTGAGTCAGGTAAAACTAGACTGATTTTTTTTTCACCTAGTCCTGGGAGTTGAACCAAGGACCCTCATACTAAACTACATCCCCAGCTTTTTGAGACAGCTAGGTTGCCCAGGCTTAGCTCAAACTTGGCAGTCCCGCCTCAACTTCCCAGAGTGCTAGGATTACAGGTGTGCACTACCACCCCAAGGTATAGGAATCAGATTTATTTTGATTTGGACCTAGACTAGATTCGGCACTGCCCCTGGCAAGTGAGGGGTTTTGATTCTGCCAAGTCATCTTTGTGAGCCTCAACTTTCTCATCTTTAAAAAAGGTTTCAAAAGTTATACCTCAAGGCGTTTCTAAAGGATTAATGTAATGATCAGACATATCAAATCTGTAGCTCTTAGCATAGTTCTCAGCCCAGGTTAGGTCCAGTAAGTTCAAATCAATTATTTACATAGGCCTTTTCCCCCTTGATTGAATTTCATCAAGCTGATCTACCAATTTAGCTCCACAAAAGAAAAAGAAAAAAAAAAAAATTGTTATGGGTAAGGCTCTGGACCAAGCATTGTGAAGATTTAAAAAAGAGTAAGATATAAACTAAGCATTGAGAAGTTTCAAAAAACAGTAAGCTGTAATGCCTGTTTTTGAAGTATGCACAACCTAATGGGATAAGCAGACATGCACACATCAGCAGTATAATAGTCCAGTTGCAAAAAGAGGGCTTAACTCTCACTAGAGAGATCTGCAAGTTCTGGGGAAGCTGAATTTTCAGGGATGCGTAGAATGGCCATCAACAACACTAGAAGGAAAATATTTGGTGTGTTCAAAAAATAATTAATTTGGTAATAAACAATTATAAAATTATTTTAAAATAATTATAAAAATAATTAATGTGTGAAGGGGGGGTTGGAGTTCCTGAAAATAATTACGTATTTGCTTCTTTTACTGATTTTTTTCTTCTTTAATGAAAGCAAATGGTCACAACTAGAGACCATACTCATAAGCGAAATAAATCAAACATACATGTGCAAGCACCGCATTGTTTAGTGTAAAGCCTGA